TTATATCTTTTCATTAAACACAAAACAGAGATTTTGTTTAGTTTTAAACATTTCAAATTGCATACCCCACCCCTCAGAACTACTGTGCGTCTACCCACAAGATCAATAAGCTATAAAACATTAGTGAGTTATTTATATACACATATACATCTTAGACCTTAAAGAAAAGACCAAAAAAAAGTAGTTATGACAAATACGAATACAACCAAGGAGTAGAATCAGAATCAGAAATACTTTAATAATCCCAGAGGGAATTTATTTATTTATTTATTTATTTATTTATTTATTTATTTATTTATTTATTTATTTGTTTATTTATTTATTTATTTAGTGAAACAAAGTTAATTAACATGCTATATGTACATATGTACATATGTTCCTACCATACTTAACAAAGGGGGACAGAATAGCCTTATTCTTTTAACTTCTTTAGGTTTTGGCCATCGGATTTCGATGGTTTACCCTTAAGGATTCTCAGGAAGTGTCTCGAGCTTTTCAAAATATTTTATTAATGGATTCCAAACACTATCATTGGATCCTCTTAGTGTATATTTAGGGATGCTGATGTTCACCTGTTCATATTGGGGTGGCTTACCGTGTGAACTTTCAAAAACGGTGCCGTTCAGAGGGGAGACGATCACAGGCGGCCGGTTCACCGGAACTAAAACCCACAGACACAAAACGAATCAGTAAAGCCACAGATAGTGAAACGGTCCCAAAACCAGCTGTGGGGTGAAAGATAAAAGCCTCACCTGTCGTAGTGCTGGAGGTCCTGCTGACCAGGCCTGGATCAGCCGTCCTGGGGGCTCCAGGGTGGCCAGTTGTGGTTGTGGTTGTGATTTCAGGATCTGTTCCTGGTTTTTGACCAAAAACAAAACCGGTTAGATGTCTCGGAACTGAGGAGTTTTCCTCTTTTGTTTCAAACTTTCAGAAGGCTATAAAAAGACATTCTGGGGCTTGTGTTGTCATGGTGATGGCAGCGTTTGTCCAGCAGAGGGCGCAGCACGCTAACGGATAGCTAACAGAAATACAGCATTTATATCCAAATGACTTAACCACTTAAGGGTTTACTTGCCATATTTTTTTTGCATCATTTACTGCCTTAACCCTAACAAAAAAAACAACATAAAGTGCTCCAGTTAGAGGACCCAGACTCAGAAATAAGGGGGGCTGAGCCTTTTCAGTCTCCATCACCATGCAGGGAATCGGCCTCCCAGCTCCGGGGACGATGCTACTTTCAACTCTTTCTCACCTTTTGTGTTTAGCTTTCATTACAAGTTGAGTCCAGATATCTTATCCACCTATTTGTTGTGTTTTTATAGTATTTTATAGTTTGTATTGCTGATTGCTGGCAGCACCTCTAAAGCCCTTTGGTCATCAGTTAGCTAAGCTACTTAGTAGTTAACTAACTACCGGTTAGCTAACTACCGGCTAACTCCCGGTTGGCTAGTTAGCTACCGGTAGTTAGCTAAGCTACTTAGCCAGGCTAACTCCCAGCCAGGGGACCCCATAAAGGGTCAGAACCGGATATGGCCAGTATCAAGTCGGGCTCCCAGCCAGGGGGACCCCATAAAGGGTCAGAACCGGGTCAGGGGCCTTATAAAG